ACGCGAATTACCCGAAGACGGACGAGTGCTGCGAAACTCTTCGGTGAGTTATCGTTAGTTATCCACGGTTTTGTTTTGAAAATTATGTTAGCAATATTTTCTCTTATTGCCTTCTTGCATTTTTCGTAGTCCACTCGGACGATCGTGGATGATCGTGATTCTTGAGACCTATCACAACATGTCGACGATGCTCCTACCAACAAAACCGGTGTGCACACAATAGTGCGATGTTGTCCAAAACTAGGTCTCGAACGAAGTCAATGAACCATGCCAATGTCTGTGGCAAAGATAAGAAACTGCAATTAGAGTTTTCGTCTTTGTCAAATATAGCATAAAGCACCTTTAATGCTATCCTGCGAAACTTTTGCAATCGTCACAGTGTGGATGGACGGCTATCAATTGCGCCATTAAAAGTCCGTCCTAATGTCTTAAATGTTATTAATTGTTACAAGCGAAATATTATTTCTGCGAAATAATATTATTTTCTTTCTGTTATTTCTACAGACTGCAAATTGACATGGAAATTTGGTGCTTCATACGTTATGGAAGTATTTTATTTCATACGTAACTAACTACGTAAATAATGAGCATAATTAAAACAGAATGATATTATGTAATTTGACTTACTTAGAAGTATGGGTTTGTTTGTTTTTGTGTCAGTTTGCTAGTAATATTACGTAGTTCGGGAACTGCAAGATCAATTTCAAAGCACGCTCTTCTCTGTACAGGCAGATAATGTACTCGTATTAAATTTCATCAGAAAAAAACAAAATGAACTCTGAATCGATCAAATGATTCCTAAAATTGCACTTCGACAGCTGGTATAGTGAAGTGAAGGGGGGGGGAGGGCTGGAAATTTTTTCGAAGGGGGGTACTTAAACAATTAAAGGGAGAGTATTGCAGGAAAATGTTAACCGAAAAAATTGTGCAAAAAACTCGAAGAACAGCTTCACCACATTCCGCAATGCACACATTCAGCTGATACTGTATCCTACTGGGTGCATTTACGATATGTACTCATGTACTCATGATCATTTATTAATAAGCCAACGTTCCAAAAAAAACGCTTTACAAAGAATTTGAAGGAATTTACTTTTTTTTAATAGTTCAGCACCCTGCAGTAAAACGTACAAGTGATTTATCGTAATTTTCTGTCAACTTACAGCCTTACTACTCTGTATGTGCTGGAAACGGACTTTTGCAGTAAGATATTTGGAATTATTTCTACTTCTACTGCTTTTTTCGGAATTTTTAGCAGCTTTTGTAGAGAAGTCGCTGGCTAGCATCGTGCAAAAATTGGCAGTGGTCCAGTGGATGACCTGGGCGCCTCGCTTTACACGCAGTTGTCACGAGTTTAATTACTTTCGAAAGCACCTCAAGCGGTTTCTTGAGTAGATTATTATTTTCATCGCCCTTTGAGTTCTCGGGTACTCGATGCCGTTCCCGCCAAAACGAGTTAAATTCGCCTATGTCCAGCTGTTTGTATTTCCTACGTATACTTCTTGTTGATACGTAAGAAATTACAACCAAGTGGCTTGTTAATAAAAATAACTATTGAGAAATCCGAAATACTCCTGCACAATGGAGAGATTGTCACAGGAAATCGGATTGGGTATAACATACTATGGTAAAATTTATTGATTATTGTATATTCCACTGATTATTAATTAATATTAATTAGGAAAAAACACCGGCAAATTCCGTCTGTTTGCCAACGGAAGTACAGACTGTACACGGAATATGAGCCCGCATAAGGGCCACAAACCGCAGCAGTATAGTAACTTAGCCGCTCGAAACGGCGTCGCCATGGAGCGCGTCCCCGGCGACTCGCCCGGATTGCAGTCCTCGCTGTCCGGAGTGTCGCCACAAGCGTAAAACGTGTCCGTGATATTGGCGGCCGTCCGGTTGGCCGCCAGTTCGGACGTCAACTTCGGTGCCGTGGTGTTGGGATTATCGTACAGGTCCACGATGACGGCGTCCACATCCTTCCCGGGTGCCGGCGGAGCCACGCCCACGCTGATCAGGTTCAGGTTGCAGACACTGCGCCGGCACAAGCAGTACATGCTGTACTCGTCCACGCCGCTCTTGCGTCGGTCATAGCCCACGTCACTGCAGACGAAATCCTGCTCGGCGAAGCCCAGCGGACCGGCGTTAATGCTGTAGGTCTCGATGCGGCGGGAGGCGTCGGTCTGCGGCAGCGCTTGGTAGTAGGTGGACTGGTTGGCCGGCGAGCCGGTACCCGGACGGTAGCAGTTGCCGATCCGGGCTCGTCCCACCACGCTGTCGTTGAGGTAGGGCGCCAGGAAGACCTCGATCCAGTACAAGCAGACATTGTCCGCACCCGGGCACGTCTGCACCGCGGCATCCGGAGGGAGCGGCCGGGCGAGCAGGCAGGTGTGATTCTCGTGCATATTCCACATTTCGTGGACGCGGGACTTGGGCATACTGCCGCCGCAGGGCCAGTCGCAATGGCACTCCTGGACACCCACCATACACTGTATGCACTGTACAGTACGACTCTGGCCTACTGCGATAAGGAAAATGGCCGCCAACAGTTGCTGCATGGAGAACATGGCGATCCCGTCCACGTATTGATGATTTTGTCCGGCTAAACCGTCAGCACGAACGCGCGGAGAGCAGATATGGGATGTCACAATGTTCTAATGCCCAATTTCGGCACCCGTCGCGAGGTGAATCCTGTATTTCGTATTTCAGAGATCCGTCAAAGGACGGAGCCACAGAGCCAGTGGGCCGGGATGGCGCGGATGCTAATACAGTGATACGGAGGTTGATACGTGCAATAAGTTCTGACTGACCCCGAGTCCCTGACTATATACGGAATGGATAACAGACAATGTACAAGTACAGCCTCCGCACGGATATCAACTGCATCTGTCCGTACTGTGGAGGCGTACGCTGCGGCGGTCGTAAAAGTTTTACGATATCCAGGAGCCCGTACTGCCTAGGCAGAAATTAGATAGATCATCAGAATGATTAAATTGTTCACTACTAATGCTGTAATGCCATAATCGAGCACAGATTTAGTCATTTTACCACTGCAGTCTAACAAGATTTGACCAGGCATTCTCCGACCGAAATTACATCCTCATAACATTAAACCCTCCTCAAGATAAGTATTTACTATCAGGTCGTCACTGCAAGGATTTTGTCAACAGTACTTTAAATATTATTAAAGTACTTTGTAAGTACTTTGAATATTATTAAGTGCACCATATGCCTAATTAGTACGTGCAACGGTACAAATAGTAATTGTTGTTATGGGTGATATTGAACTGTGCCTGAACAAGTTCTGTGAGAAATATGCTGAAACGCCCCCACCTGAACAACACCGTCGCTATCAGTCTGCGTGGGAGTCGGTTTGTGTTACTGTTCCTTTAAACGTACGTACGAAAAAAATAAACTTTTACAAACTAACCAGGGCACACACAGAGTAGAGAGGCTGCAAATTCAGAAAAATCTGCGTTTCTGCACAAAGATAGTATATGTGCACAAAGATAGTATGTTTTTAATTATACCAGATGGGCGTGGCCAAACGGAAAATTGAAAAAGTACCTTGCACCACATATTTTTAGAATAACAATTATTCTAAAGATATGTGGTATATACTTTTATTATTATTGCCGAGCGTAGCGAGGCTTTCTGTACTACAGCTGGACAAAATCGGGCTTGTTGCATGGTGTGTGTACAGTGTGTGTGTGTGTGTGTGTGTGTGTGTGTGTGTATGTCCTCACGATTAAAAGCGAACGGATGGTCCGATCTTCTTGAAATTTGGCAGGAAGCTTTCTCATTACAGTGGTGAGGGGGAGTTCGAAGATGGGCATGATCCGACAACCAGAAAGGGAATCGTTCCCGATTTTCGGGAAACAATGCAAATATCCGAGTAAACAATAGACACGGATATATAATACAATGCCAACCCACATATTCTGTAGCTGGCCGGAGTCATGTATTAGTGATTGCTAAACGGACCAAGGTAGACTCAGTAGCAATTTCGAGTTTATTAATGAGCCGGATATGAAGGATGGGAGAAGGGTTTGGGACGCGGCGAGGGATGTAGGGAAATGAAATGCAAGATTAGGCGAATCATAGGATTATGATTAGCCGGTTGGCGAAGGGGCGAGTTAATTTTTAAGGGAATAGCCCCCGAAGGCGGAGCCGGAGGCGACGCCGAGCTGCGGCGCGGGCGAAGCCCGCAAGCAACAAAGTGGCTGTTGGATACTGTTACAAGTATAATTAAATGTGGCTATATAACTATCCGGGATGGTGGGGAATAGTGGAAGATGGCACTAACACTAGCCAACTATACTCGCAACAAAACAGCAGCTAGTGGCAACTCTTTACTGATGAAAAGTCCAAATGAACAGAGCGCATTTTCTGGCAGCATCGCAGTGCTGCTTATATGCTCTAAGCATCAGGGACAGAAGATCGAATCAGCATAAAAAGAATGAAGAAAGATCTAGAGCATTATTTAACAACAGGGTGTGGCTCGGGCTTGACAATAGAAAATAAGCATACAATGATGAATCGTATGCAACTAGTGCATTGATCCTTATTGTGTGATGGCAACAATTAAAGGACAGTTATTAATAACTAGCTAGTAGCTGCTCTATTTTAAACGCTTCGATGGTCATATAATTATGCAACAATATTTTACCTATAACAATACTTATATTACGGTAAAAAGATTTAATGGTCAAGGTTGTCAGCTCTTCACGTTTTTGCAGTCAGGACGTTTATACGGCGGCCCGTGTCATAGATCTGCTTTCATTCAACAATTTGTTTATTAAACCACGCAAACCTGAAGTATGATGGCAAGAATATTCCGATTTTCAAGAAAAATTGGTGAGAAAGAAATAGCAAAAACCGGAATGTGCTTCAAGATTCGTTGCACTTTGCCGTGTTTAAAGGGCGTGCTAATCCATTCAACGTTTATTAGAGAAAGAATTTCAAATTTATAAACAGCAAGGTTGTAACCCATTGAAAACATCACACAAAATTGGGATGGTGAATATAAGAAATTGATCAGGTGATTCAGGTACGAAGTATAGCTTCGTTTTGACTGTTAATTACTTCGCGAGGCCACTACGTGACTGAAGGAGCGTAAATTTCCTTGTTATTTATAGAAGTATGTATTATTACAGAGTATTATGTGTATTTCTGCATACCGTGCAAAAAAAATTTTCTTTTGCTACCCTAGTTAGCAAACACAGAAATCAGAAAGTATCAGATTTTAAAGGTATCACTTTAACAACGTTGTCAGAGACCACCATACTCGGGTTTTACCTGCCTAGATGCTTGGCAGCTGCAAGAGTCCACGCTAATGGCCTACTTTTCAATATTTTACTACAGCACTCGTATAATTACTGTATACTGTATTGCTATCAGAACAAAGTTGTCGTGACGGAACGGATGGCAGAATTGTCGGCCAAACGAGTACACGGTTTAAAAACAGCTAAAGAAACATTGTCGGCAGTCTTATGTCACCAAGTAACAACGATATATTTTGTGCGATAATCGAACAGGCGCGCAATGCGAGCAGAAGAAATCACAGGTACACGGTCACTTTCTATAGCCGGTAGTTCAGCATGCGAGTAGGTGCTCGTATAGAAACAATGCAATCGCACACAGTTCAGCGGCTTTACGAGGTACGGGGCATCTTCGGAACAGCGCATTCGCACAAACAGACACCACTTATGAGTGGGCATACAAAAATAATAAGAAATTATTGTTTTCTACAGTCTGTATGTCAAACCGGGCTTTAATTAGCCCAACAGTCTCAGCGATGCAATTTCCCACGTTTAGTCGAAGCTCGAAGCAGTGACAACGGGCGCAAAAGGAGGTAGATACATTGATATACGTAAACTTGGTCGTTCGGTTGCCTATCTATAGTAAGTGAATGGGCGATGGTCGTTCAAAATGGCCACTGTGAATTATAATTCCACGAACCGTTTTTCTTCCGGTTTTCTTCTTTACCCAGTTCAGCATAATGTGCTCTATTCATGGTACGGTACAT